GCCCCACAGCTGCCAGCACCCAGATCACCGATGAAGGCTACCAGTCATGCTGCACCGTCTACCGCCAAAAGGCAGTTAGCTGCTGCTGCTGTGTAGCAATGCAGTCCCACGTCTGCCGGCACCCAGAGGACATATGGTGACGGTGAGCTGAGGTGAGCGGGCTCCATGCTTGCCATGGTATGTTGTCTGCACAGGTAACCCAGGTAAAAAGGCGTGAATCTATTGTCTGCCGTTGCTGTGACGGAGGGGGAGGGGCCTGACGACATGTACCCAGAACCTCCCGCGACACTGTTTTGCATCATTCGGGCATTGGGATCTCAACCCAGAATTCCAACGGGCGGCGGAGACTGCGGGAACTGTGGGATAGCTGCCCATAGTGCAATGCTCCGGAAGTCGACGCTAGCCTCGGTACTGTGGACACGGTCCGCCGACTAGAGCACTTAGAGCATTTTATGTGGGGACACACACAATCGGGTGTATACAACCGATTTCTATAAAACCGGCTTCTATTAATTCAACCTAATTTCGTAGTGTAGACATACCCTAAGACTGGGAAAGTTAAGCCTAGAAAGAGATGGCTAAGGGGGGATATGATAGAGGTCTAATAAATCCTGACTGGTGTTGAGATAGTAAATAAGGAAGTGTTATTTACTCCTTCCCATAACACAAGAACTAGGTGTTACTGAATGAAATGAATAGGCAGCAGGTTTAAAGCAAACAAAGGGAAGTATTTCTTCACACAACGCACAATCAACCTCTGGAACTCCTTGCCTGAGGAGGTTGTGAAGGCCAAGACTATAATGGGGTTCAAAAAAGAACTAGATAGAGGACAGGTCTATCTACAGTTATTAGCCAGGATGGGCAGGGATGGTGTCCCTAGCCTCTGTCTGCCAGAAGCTGGGATGGCTCACTTGACGATTACCTGTTCTGTTCATTTTCTCTGTGGCACCTGGCATTGACCACTTTCTGAAGACAAGATACTGAGCTAGATGGACTTTTGGTCTAAGCCAGTATGGTCGTTCTTATGGAGAAATGTGGGCTCATTGGAACTACCATTAAGTGGATACATAACTGGTTAAACAACCACAAACAATAAGTAATTGTTAATGAAACAATGTTGGATTGGAGGGAGGTCCTAAGTGGGGTTCCACAGGGATCTGTTCTGGGTCCCATGTTATTTAACATCTTTATCAATGACCTGGATGTAGGACTAGGGAGCAGACTGATCAAATCTGCAGATGACACAATGCTGAGGGGAGTTCCCAACACTTTGGAAGATGGCACTAAAATTCAGAGGGACCTCGATGAATTGGAGGACTGGGCTGTAGACAACACAATGAAATTCATGAAGGACAAATGGAAGGTTCTCCCCTTAGAGAAGAAAAACCAAGTGCACAAATACAGGGTGAGGAAGAACTGGCTTGGCAGCAGCACTGCTGAAAAGGAGGTGGGATTTGGGATGGATCACAACCTCGACATCAGTCAGCAATGCGATGCTGTTGCAAAAAAAATAATAATGCAATTTTACCAGAGGCAGAACAGGCAAGTCACAGGAGGTGACAGTACCACTCTACTTAGCTGCAGTTTTGGTCACCAATGTATCTCAAGGATAACTCCCCAACTGTGAGAGCAGTCGGATAATGGACCAGGGAGGTCATGAAAGCTCCTTCACTGGAGGGTTTCAAGAGGAGGCTGGACAGCTTCTGTCTGCGATGGGTTAGACCCAACAAATCCTGCATCTTGGCAGGGGTTGGACTAGGTGACCCCTGCGGTCCCTTCTCATTCTGTGGGTCTGTGATTCTAGGACTCACAAAAAATATCATGTGAATATCATGACACCCCCTTCCCCTAAATTCACTAAAAATCCTGAGATTGTCTAAAAATTGTGAGATTTGCTCAAAGAATCCTGAGATTGGCTCTTAAAATTCACAGATTTGTGCTTTGTCTCCGCACACCCCTTTGTTTGCTGCCCGTTGTCTCATCCCCCCATCCCTCATGCGGTGAGTGGCTTGGTTCTGTAGGGACCCAGTGGAGCCGGATGGCCTGGAGGTGGGTAAAGTGTCCCCGGAGGGTGGGGGAACAGTGCAGAGAGCTGATGGCTCCCCACTCTGCAGCCAGGGTGGGGCTCTAATGCTGTCATCCCTGCCCCACAGATGTTTCCCCCACCCCCACTGCACCCTGCTTCTTCTGCAGCTGGAACTCCCCCCCATTAAAATGGTACTGGCCACTCCCTCCTGCTCACTTTTCTCAGAATGGTAAGGACCACTCCCCCCCACCCTGCCACAGTCTTGTGAGACTAGTAAGGGGCACT